TCATCCTGCACTAAGAGAGCTCTTAATGAAAATAGAACAGTCAACTTAATCACTGTCAGTTAAGATATTAATTAACAAGCTATTTGTCTGCCACTGCACGAAATGAGTTTATATCACTTTTGGGTGGAATTGTAAAAAGGAAAAGATTATGATCAATATTAAAAATGTAAAGTATTTTAGTATCATCTTTGACAGCACATCTAACATCTTGCACATAGATGAGTGAAATCATTCCTTACATCCATATACAGAACAAAATATATGATATAAAGCAGTCATTTCTAGAATTTTCTAGCTACCTGGGAAGAAAGCCATTGACACAATGGAAGATATGTTAAAGGTTATTGAATGGGATGGTCAAGAAAAGGGGTTATCACACTTTTTTGTCACATGCGCCCCTTTTAACATTTCTAAAAGACCATTCTGTCTTCTCTTCCAAAACACGAAAAATAAATGTATATGCTTATCTAGATTTAGGTGACCTTTTTAATATGTTTTATAAATTAAGCAACAAAATATCTAGAAAATGTTAACAAATACCAAACTTGAATACGAGTAGGGATCTAGTGTAGAATTGGGTGCCCCTTTGATTGACGACAATTTTTTTTCAGTTTTGGTGATGAAACCCCATTTCTGATTACTATGATAGTTTTAACTTGGTTTTAGCTTCCTAATTTTTTTACTTCCTTGTACGAAGTGAAAAGGAAGTATTGTAATTGCAAAAAATTTCAGGTATCATATTTCAATGAAAATATCCATTTTGACTGCTATCAAAATGCAATTTAACAATGTTTTTGAGTGACATATGTACATAAGAGAACAGAACAAAAGGGCACGATTTTCCCAAAAAATTATAAAACTGATTTAAAATGAATTCTGAAGAGATTCTTTTTTCGGTGTCTATACGTAGGTGTATGTATCTTACATAACTCAAAAACGAATAGTCTCTGCATGTTGAAATTTTGTATGTGGGACTGCTATAACATTTAGATGTGCACCTCCTTTTTGGATTGCAATCAGCCTCACCAAAAGTATAAAATATATATATATATATCCGCTCTGTTACTCGGCTTAGTAAGCTGTTTCTTTTTTCTTATATGTTTGTAAATTGTGCATTTTTTACTTTAAAAAGGATTAAATTACATTGTTCTTATCTTCGCCTTTAGTTAACGTGTATGTTATAGTTGTAGAATTATCAACAATTTAAAAGTTGTTTAAGTGCGGCTAAGCCTCATTTTTTTTTATCATAGTAGCCATGTTTGTTTACATTTCAAACTTAGCAGAGAAGTGGATTTGTTTCCAATCTAGAGAAATTAAGCTTCACAACAACAAACATCTTCTTTTATTATTGCGAATTAAATTATGCTTAATCCATTCTGGAATTATCGCTTAAATTATTAAATTATTCCATATATTGACGCAGGATAGCATCCACAGCAAATTAAATCAGTTTCTATGCCTTCAGTGTCCTTTTGCCGAGTGAGAATAAAAGTAAACTTTCAGTTTTGTGCACCGAAAAATCTATCTTCTTGCCCGCTGGCCGAATTGCTTATTTTTGCGTAGAAATAGTAATTTTAATTGTAATTTTTTTTAAATTTTTTTAACTGTATTTGGTGTTTTATGTTTTTCTACATCTTTAAATTTTTAATGAAGATATTTTGTGCTTTTATTACTTTTGCCTACCCACAAAGAGATAATTGAATTAATTGAATAAGAAATACATCTCTAATGAAATTCGAGAAAATAATTGTTTCATATTAGCAGAAAACACTGTTGCCATTCTGTTTCTGACCCAGCAGAATGTTTTACGAGTAGCACATGCACATTAGATAAGCAGTACTGAATCGTCTGTGAAAAACTGTTTTATTTTTTATTTGTTTTCTTTTATACATCGTTTTAGATCTATTATAGTATTTGAAGAGAACATGTGGCAACAATCAGATAATTCTTCAGATGCGATAATTTTCTTTTGCATTCTGAGTTATAAAATGAATGAGATGTAATGCTGTTAAGTGAACATGGTGCCAGAGCATCACTATGGTAAATAAATATAGTGAATTTTAGAAAATATATTTATTCTACCGTGGTTTATGCACTACCAACGGAGTAGATTTAATTCAATTCAATAAGTTTTAATGAAATGCAGGGAAAAAAATTAGTCTATTTTAATATAAAATACAAGGAAGTCATGTGGTCTATACATCAGATTTTTTAACCGAAAAAGATCGATGTGTACATGGAAGAAAGAAAGAAGAAGAGCACAGTGCCAAGTTTGTGCGATTGTCTGATGTTTTGTTAAGTGAAAATAGATCAATGTCACTAAGTTTCTGCAATTCTTTGACTTCTGATTTTGGTTTTGTGTAGCGGCCATCTTGAAACTGTGCCTTCCTGGTGCTGATCTTGGCGTCAAAAAAAAAAAAAAAAAAAAAAAAAAAATGCCAAAAAAACAAGAGGCACACAATTGTAAAACTTTTACCAAAAGTAGAGTCAGTCTATAGTCATAAACTAGAACTAAATACTTAACAGCTAAACAAAAGGCCAAAGGCATCTCCTCCCTTGAAACTAATACGAAATTCTCCCCAACGGAGGAATTCACTTTGGTGCAGATATAAAAAATGTACCCAGGTCAAGAATATGGCAATACTTCTAACAATGTCTTAGTTATATATTACTAACAATGGCTTAGTTCTAACAATGGCTGGAGTGCATTCAGAAGTTCAAGCAGAGATTTGTGAACTCAATCCTAAAGCATTCCCTGTGCAAACCACTCTCTCAATCTGTATGGATTCTCTCTTTTGCAACTCTCACTTTGGACTCTCCCTTTGGCAACAGTTCCATTATGTGTAACTTTTCTTGGAACCTTAACAAGTTTGTACTTGCCCCCCTCCCATCTTCTATGAACAGATGGATGATCATTTGGACAAATGTTGAAGTTGCAGCTAAGCAACTATCAGAAAAAGATGGAATGCTACCTATGAAGCTGTGAATCCCATGTTCAGGTACTTTAAGAAGATAGTGGATACTATGAAGGAACTTGGTTATGCTTTGGAAATAATCAAAAACAGACAAGCAGCTCAAACCTTGTTGCCTGCAATTTCTCGTTTTTGTGTTTTTTGTATTTATGGAATAATGTCTTAGAAGAAGTCAACTATGTTCAAAAGCATTTTCAGATTCTTAGAATAAGCTTTGAGATGCCTGTTATCAAGATGAGAAGTTTAAATGTCTTTTTAAAAGGAAAAAAAAAAAAAAGAGTACTATCAGTAAGTAGTATTATTAGAGTAGGTATTATCATCATGACCTTGTTGAGGAAACACAGCAATTTGCAAAAGACGAAGGTAAAGAAATTGACATTCTTGTAGTAGAACTGCCAGTAGGAAGAAAATTAAGCCTGAAGAGGGGGCTGCAAATGAGCCACTAACTTCGGAACAAAAACTGAAAAGGTCAATATTAGAACGCATTAATGCTCCGAGCATTACGGATTAAGCCCTGAAATTTCAAAGTTTCTCAAAATGTCATGAATAAGTGATATTTTCTTGATTTTAATTAAAAAATGACTATCTCATTTTGTACTTTGATTCCTTTTCTTCCAATATACATCCAAACCTAAATCAGATACATTTAAAACCTAGCAAAAATTTTCATGTATAATGAATATAGAAGATATCCTTCTATACGGAATTTTCCGGCCGTAACATTGAGAGAGTTAACAGATTTCAACAAAAAATTTCAATACACAGTGCAAAGGCATGGAATGTATATCAGATTGGTTTGCAGTTTTATAACCTAACAATGTGAATAAAACCTTCGAAACCGAACTTCCGAAGTTAGAAGTTTGATTGAAAATTATTTGGTATCTTTACAGAAATTCCACATCTAACAAGACTTTTAAAAGGTGCTAAAGTTCCAGAAGAGTCTTTGGTTGGATTTCCTTATGATTCTTAAAATTTGTGGTTGAATATGAAGATTATGACTCTGTTCTCAATCTCACTTAAGCACTAAGATTTTTCTTGACTTTATGTTTATCTGTTACATCAAGTGAGAGAAGTTTTCCAAAACTCAAATTAATTAAGAATTATCTCACATCCACTATGAACCACACCTGACTCTCTAGCTTAGTCATTTTGTCAAATGAAAACAGTGTTACTAAAGTTATCAGTTTGAATGATGTAGTTCCAAAGTTTGCACAATATAATGTTAGAAAGAAGAGATTAAGCATTAAGATTTTTTTAACTTAACATGCTTCTGTTGTATCAAGTGAGAGAAGTTTTCCAAAACTCAAATTAATTATGAATTATCTCACATCCACTACGAACCACACCTGAATCTCACTTACTTAGTCATTTTGTCAAATGAAAATAGTGTAACTAAAGGTATCAGTTTTAATGATGCAGTTTCAAAGCATACAGAATAAAAAGTTAGAAAGAAAAGATTCTAAGTATCATGCTGCTATACATTTTTTGTATTACCACCTAGCAAATGAAACTTGTAAACAATTTACTTTTTATTAAATAGTATTATAAAGTTATGCATTAGGTATTATCACTATGAAAAAAAAAAAAAGATTTCTTGCAATGTACAATAAACTGGCTTATTAATGAAAAGGCAATTTACTTGTTTCTTTTAATTCATAAAAAAATTGTTTCAAAATAATTAACAGTATGACCTCTTTACTTAACCAATTGTATAAAGAGCTTCTTCCTCAGTAAATTTAATTTTATATTTTGGTGAAATGGAGGTGAGAAGTTAAAACTCCACACTAGGATGCCCCCACAACTTGGTATGATATTGCATACATACACCAGAAATGAATTTTGTTGCCATAAATATTTTATGATAATTATGTGATAAATCATTTTTGGAACCAAATCATTGTCAAATCACATCAAATTTCCCAGTTAGGAAACAGAAGCTCAACAATATAATCACATTTTCCAGTTAGAAAAAGAGAAGCTCAGCAATATAATTAATTCAGAGATATAAAACTAGTCAAATCGTTATACTTTGGATCCGAAATTAAACATCCGGTGACACCATCAAAGCCCAAACTTGGTGCCGCTACAGCAGCAGCTGCCATTGTATTGGTATTGTGAGGAGCAAGAGAACATACATCCCGAACACAACCTGAAATTGAAAGAATAAAGCATTAAATAATTTGTGAATGGAAATGGCTGACATAAAAGTATTGTGGACATGCATAAAATTTTATCACAAGGATACTAAAAGTGCTGCAGAAATTTTCAAAACGTTTAAGCAAGAATTAATTAAACCTATTTAAAACAAGCAAATTAAATTATTTAATCTTTTAAATGCTGACTACTACAGGTAACTATGCTGAACTTGCTCTTCCTTCAACTATAAACCATATAATAAATGCAAAATTAAATAACAATCACACATGATAGTAAGCAACAATTTGCAGCCTCTGTGATATCATTTTACTTACAGTCTGTTTAAGTGTCTTTTATTCTTATTTATTTATGTATATCCATCATGAATAAAAATAAAAGTAGCAGTATTTTTTTAAGAAACTATACTGAGGTACAAAACAATCCTTCCATAGAAAGTTATAGGAAACTTCAGGAAAAATCAGAAATAACACAGAATTTCTAGTCATATGGATTACTGATATAGTTTATTGTTTCTACGGTGTTTACTGGTACAGTTTTTTACCTAAAATTTAAAAGAAATCATCCTAATGAAAGTCATACCAATTGGTTACAAAGACAGCTTGTTAGATAAAATATGATGTCTATGTAGTTTATAAGTCTATGTAGATCCATTTTTTTAACATTAATGGAATGACTCAGAAGTATTTTTTTTTTTTTTTTTTTTTTTTTAACAACATATGTTACATTCTACTGCTATGTTCTGGAACAGCTATGGAACAACTGTTCTCAAAATCTTCTTTATGGCAACTGAATCCTTTATCTCATCATACCACATTGCAGCAGTTTTGGGCATTCAAAAGCAAGGATTTTTTCTAATCCTTACTTTTCAGATTTAACTGCCTGTAACTTCTTTCACTCTTTGGACATAAAAATTAAACTTTTCGAAAAGGAGGGAAGAGTTAAATACCTCAAATGAATTTTGAGACAAAGCTAAACTTGACAACTAATAAATGATATGTTTCTTTACATTTTGATAGTGAAAATCGTATTAATACTGTAGAAAGAGCATTTTGAGTATGATAGACATAACATGTGAGGTAAACTGCATTATACTCTATTATAGGCTGAAATCATGCCCGCTCATGTTAAGTGCTGGCAACTGCCGTTGATTCCCCTAGCACATGCGCATCATAAGCAAGTTCTCTGCTGCGTAATATTTTTCTAAGCTGTTAAGTCAATGGTGAGTATCGCATGTAAGCGAGAAATGCTAAGCGCTGTGCAATATCATGTTTCTACTCTGCTGTTCAACATCTTCATAGCTTAAATAAATGTTTGTCATGTATATGGTAGAAGTCATTTTATTCTTCATAGGTCATGGGCCCAGACAGCGCTTAATTGTGCAGTCAAACCACCATTGTTAAATTCTTTCGCCAAGCCAAGCTGCGTCGACTGAAATGAAAATTATGACAACTAATACAGTGTACAATTGAAAAGCTAAACAAGGACAACTTTGACACGTGGAAATTGCAAGTGGAAGCAATACTGATTAAAAATGATCATTGGGACTATGTAACTGGGAAAATTCTGAAACCAAGAACCTGGTGATGAAGATATTGCTAAATGGAAAACTACTAAACAAAAAGCACGAGCGGATATAATCCTATCCATCTTACCCAGTGAACTTCCACAAGTAAAGAATTGTGTAACATCTCACGAACTGTGGAGTAAATTGCATTCTATTTACGAATCGAAGGGACCAGCTAAAAAGGCAACAATTCTAAAAAAAATTGCTTTTTACAAAAATGAGTGATTCTAAACAAAATGAACTGATCATCTAAATGATTTTTTTCATTCTTGTGGACAAACTGAAAGAATTGGAAATAAATATTGCGGATGATTTGCTTACAATATTGCTTTATATAGCATACCGGACTCTTATGAAAGCTTTCGAATAGCCATTGAATCTCGTGATGAACTAACTTCTTCTCCAAAATGCTGAAAATTAAACTGTTGGAAGCTAACGCTCGCAAAAATAAAAATTCGTTTTCTAAACCTCAACACTGCGTTCTATTAAAAGATCGAGTACTCAACGACCGGTTCCTAAACTGAAACCAGATAAATCTGCAAACCGAAGACAGTATCCAGTTAACTACAGATGCAACTTTCTGCCATATCTATGGACATAGAGCATCGGAAGTAGAAGAAAGTAATAAGAAACTAAAAGCAAACACCTTAAGTGAAACTGCGATGTCTGCAGAAAATCAGAATTCCTTGGAGCAAGAAAAAGCCATAGCATGCACTAATAGTAACTAAGAAGACATTTTTTTGTCTGGATAGTGGTGCAACATCGCATATGTGTTAACAGCAAAGAACTGTTTCAAGAAATTCCTGAGGTAGGTGATACTTATGTTAAATTAGCTGCTGATAAAATAGTTAAAGTTTTTGGAAAAGGACCTGTTAAATTTAAAGTTCGCATAGGTTCTAAAACTGAAAATATAAAACTCAAAAATGTATTGTGTGTACCTGATTTGAAAAAAATTTAATATCGGTGTCTAAAGTAACTGAAAATAATCTTTCAGTAATTTTCAAAGAAAAAATGTGCTCAAATAATTAATTCTAATAACGAAATAGTAATTTTAGCTAAACGCGAAAATGATCTTTATTTTGTCATGCCAATATTGAATCTGTATCAATTTGCTAAAGAAATAGATCAGTGGCATATAAGATTTGGCCATTTAAATGAAAATGATCTTAAAAAAAACTTCAAATAAATAACATGGTTAGAGGTTTTTCTTTTTCTCAAAATGACTCTCTTTCTACTTGTAAGGTATGCATTCAGGGTAAACAAACCACAACCCCCTTTCCCAAAGAATCTGAATATAGAAGGACTGAATGATTAAATCTAATTCATTCTGATTTGTGTGGTGACGTGAGAACCAAATCAATAGGTGGATCATTTTATTTTGCAACATTTATCGATGATAAATCTCGATATGCTCGTGTTTATTTTCTGTAATCTAAGGATGAGGTTAAAGAAGCTTTCAGAAATTTTAAAGCATCATTTGAAAATAAACTTAACTCTAAAATCAGAATTCTGTGAATAATAACGGGCTAGAATACTTACAGAACCTTTGGCCAAAAAGCATTTTCGCTAAATAAAAGGCCAGGAATAGGCAAAATTGATATTCGAACTAAATAATGTATTTTTATTGGCTATTCTGATGAATCAAAAACGTATAGATTTTGGGATCCTGAGGCACGTAAAGTGATAATAAGAAGAGACATAAAATTTATTAATGAGTTTGAAAACTGCTGTAGTTATGACTCAGAGCAAGAAATAAATCTGCCTTTTGCTCCAAACGAAAAAATTACAAATACAACATGTTGTGATCAATCATCACCTCTGGATGGTAGCGAGTCGCCACTTGACTCTGAATCTGAAAAGGAAAGCGAAACTGATTTAGACAGCGAATGAACGCTTCCTATCCTGATTAAAAGAGGGCTGGTCGGACCCAAGAAAATAAAAACAGGTTTGCCAGGAAGGCCTAAAAAAGAATATCGTTATACAGTTGTAAATAAAAATGAACAAACTCAAAATGTTGTTGTGAAAAACATTAATCCTACAGTGCAAGAAGCATTAAATGGACCATATACTGAAAATTGGCATAATGCCATGCTGTTAGAATATAACTCGCTTGTTCAAGAAAAGGCTTGGGAATTAGTAAAAAGACCTGAAAACAAGAAAGTTATTGGTAATAAATGGGTTCTTAAATTAAAATATAATCAAGACGGCACTATCGAAAAATACAAAGCTAGGCTAGTTGCTAAAGGATGCGCTCAAATCCCTGGTCTCGATTTTACTGATAACTTTTTCCCTGTTGCTAGATTAAGTTCCATAAAAACAGTTTTAGCCTACGCTGTAGAACACAGTCTTAAAGGTTACCAATTAAATTTTGTAAAGGCCTATGTAAATGGAAATTTAAATGAAGAAATCTACATGGAAATTCCCAAAGGTTTTCACGATAAAACTAATTCAGATAAAGTGTGTCTTTTAAAGAGATCATTATATGGTCTTAAACAGTCAGAACGTCAGCGTACAAAAAGTTGGATGAAAAATTAAAATCTATGAAGTTTAAATCTCTTAATTCAGATAATTGTGTTTATATTAAAAAGACATCTAACAGTGAAACTATTATAATCGTTTATGTAGACGATCTTATCGCTTTTACCGATTCTAAGCAAACATATGAGACAATTCGCGATAGTTTAGCTTCTGCTTTCAAAATGAAAGACTTGGGGAAATTACATTATTGCTTAGGCATAGAATTTTACCAAAATGAGAATTCAATTAAAATTTCTCAAAAGAAATACGTTGATGATATTTTAAATCGGTATGATATGCAAAATGCTAAATCTGTGTCTTCACCTATAGATAATAGCAAAAAATTATCAAAAGAGATGAGTCCTAAAAACGAAAACAACTCACTGACATGAAAAATGTTCCATTTAGAAATCTGATCGGATCACTTATGTACCTTTCAGTAGCTACTAGACCAGATATCACATACGCTGTGAATTTCTCAAGTCACTCATCGCCTTTGAGGATGCAGAATGGGCAACAAATGTCGATGATCGAAAATCCTACACAGGTTTTGTATCAATATTAAGTGGTTCAGCCATAACCTGGAAATCACAAAAACAACGCAGTGTTGCTCTATCTTTAATGGAGGCGGAATATATGGCTTTCTCTGAGGCCACCAAAGAAACTGTCTACCTACATCGTTTCCTGAAAGAACTGGGTTACAACATAGAAAAACCCAACAACAATATACTGTGACATTCAAGGGGCTCAGAAAATTACGAAGACCTCAATGTTTCAGTCAAAGCACATAGACGTTTGCCATCATTTTGTGCGTGAAGTATATGAACGTGGTGAATTGGATGTGCAGTACATACCTACCAGTGAAATGGGAGCTGATGTGCTAAACAAACTCCTGTTAAACCTGACTCCTGTTAAACATCAAAACTGTTGTACAATTATAGGATTGAAAATTGTTTAATATGCATTTTGTTTTACTTTTCAGGAATAGGAGAATCAACGTCAAAAGGGGGTATGTTGGCAACCGCCGTTGATTTCCCTAATGCATGCGCATGATAAGCAAGTTCTCTGCTGCATAATACTTTTTCTAAGCTGTTAGCCAAAGTCAATGGTGAGTTTCGCATGTAAGCGAGAAGTGTTAAGCGCTGTGCAATATCATGTTTCTACTCTGCTGTTCAACGTCTTCATAGCTTAAATAAATGTTTGTCATGTATATAGAAGATGTCATTTTATTCTTGAAAAGGTAAAGTTGTTTACTATGAAAAAAGTGAAAAGTTATTACTGAAGTAACAATAATATAACTAAATACTCAATTTAAAAAAATAAAAAGATTCTTCATACCATTCTTATAAATTTTAATAATGAAATCCCTTCAAAATATCATAACTTCCAGTTTTTTAATGGAAATGTGCTAAAAATTTCTTGCTTTGCAAATAAAATTTCATACATATTAAATTAATTTACTTACCTTCATATAAAGTTACAGCTTTATCTTTCACTTCATCATTCAGCAACTTTAAATATCCTTCCACCTTTAAACTCAAGGGATGCTTTTTCATGGTAACCTTTAAAGCCTATAAATTTTGAACGAAATGTTAAATAAATGTTATAAAAGTAATAAATAAGTAAATAAAACGTCTGGTCTGAAAACTTCAAATTACACACGAACAGCCCAGAGAAAAATTTGCTATTAAGCACTTTTAAAAGACAAACTATAAAAAAATTTTAAAAAACATACATTTTTTCCCCCCTTAAATAAAAGTAATATCTTCTGTTGGCAACTCACAAAACCAATTGCTTACTGCTGAATAATTTATAACTGAGCTTGAAATAGAGCTTAGATAGCAAGTTTTAAGTCAGATCAAACCACAATACCAGTTGCAAGATGACTGCTAATGGAAGCGTAGTTAAATGCAGATATACAAAGTTTGTTATAGTTTCTGTAACTAAGATGAATTTCTGTGGAAAAAATTTATCATCAGTATAGTACTAATGTCTATAAAGTAAAAATGTTTGATTTTGATGCACTACAATAAAGGCAGGTGAGGTGCATATGATGAACAATGGTCTGGTTAGTCAAACATGTTTACCATAGTTGACATTTGCCTTAAACACAAGAGATCTTCTATTGTCTGAAGTACTGCAGATTATCATAAATTGTATTTTTATGAATAAAATTACATAATTGCATGAATAACTTTTCTAGCATTGAAATGAAAAATTAAATGGTAGCCTATATTCCCATTTTTCATTTAAAAAAAAAATTCCTTACAGACTGTATTTTCAGTTGCAGAAAACTGATTTTAAAATGAATCACCAGAACAGAGTGGCTAAGACTATTGAAGTATCACTTTGAGTGTTAAGTCATATTGCTAATTGATTAGCACAAGTATATTAAACTATGTTATAATTCATTCTGATTTTCATAAATTTTTAGAATCTTGTTTAATTACCCTTCCAAAAGGAATTTCAACATATAGCAAGAAATTATTTTTATCATTTAATATACATCTTCATGATAAATGCGTCATTAACCACTTGCGCTATGACTAAACTTCACGGTTGCGGTGCCATGTGCTACAATATAACAAGCGGTAAAGTGTCTCGTTTACGCCGCTCCACATCTGCGAATGCAATCCAGAGCAGTAACTCAAGAAATAAACAATCTCGTTGTTAGGCGACGTTTGCACCACTTTATTATCATTTTTGCAATAAATGCCTATCGACGTGGTTTCACGTCGCTCGTGGTTTGAGACAAAAGCATCTCGACGTGCGTGGCGCATCTTTTTAGCGCAAGTGGTTAATATTGCATTAAATTATATATATATTTATTTTAACGAAATATAAAGAAATGGATGAAAGAATATACACTATCTTTATAATATTGCAAATATAGAAAGCATCATCAAAAGCAACTCAAAATTTTAACCCTTTTCATCAAAAATAAGCAAAAATAAAAACAGTGTAAATTTTTCATTTCCATTAACATAATTCTGAATACTACTTCAGAAGTCAAACAACAAAAATCAGCATTATATTTTCAAATTTTCACAGGACTAGTTTCGATGGTTTTACCGAACCACCATTGTCAGCTGCAAAAGAGCGAGATAGGATATAATGATCAGATAAGATAAGAAAACCTGGACAGAAAATAAGCTAGTGGCACCATCTGTTGGTGAAACCAGAACTAAAGCATAATTTCTTTAAAGGTCAAAGGCAAAGATGGATTGGAATTAGGATCGTTAACTAGAAACAGAAAGATTTTTGAATGTGAAATGCCTCTAGAAAATCCAGTTCTCCAATGGAAGATGTTTTTTGAATAATTTTGGCAGCATAAAATTGAAAGTGTGATTTTCGGAACCAACAATGTTGGGCAACAGAAGACTTTTGTGTTTCCTTTTTTCTAACATACGCCTCATGTTCCTTGACGCGAAATTTTAAGGCTCTCTTCGTTTTACCATGTAAATTAAACCCACACTGGCAGGATCCTATAAATACCCAGGAATTCATTCCGGAATGGGGTTTGAGTATGGAACTCGGAATTTTTGATGTAACCCGAAAGTTAAATTTTTGCAAATGTGCAACTTTATAGCTAATTGTTGGAAAGAAAGAAATAACAACAGAATTTTTATAATCTCCTAAAAACAATTTAGTTCTTTTATCAAGAGATAGTTTGGAGGAGCAAACTTGAAGAGCACGGAAAACATAGGAATAAAATGAAGCTAACTTTTGTTTAGTCGGATGACATGATTTAAAGTGTGGTGGAAGGCAAACTGATGAAGGTTTATGGTGAACCATAGTACTGAAGTTGGAAGTGTTACGTGTGACCAGAATGTCGAGAAACTGAAGAGAATTGCAAATCTCAAGTTCAAAAGTGAACTGAATAGCAGGATCAATAGAATTCATTGCTGAAAGAACTTTATTTAAATCATCTTTATTACCTTCAAACAGGGTAAATGTATCGTCTACGCAGCAGAATCATACCGGGAAGTTTAAAGTTTCAAACAATTTTGATTCATAATAATGCATGTAGATATCAGCCAATATGGGACTGAGGGGGCTTCCCATGGCTAATCCCTCAGTTTGCTTGTAATATTTATTTTGGAAAACAAAATGTTTTCTTGGAGAAATGTTTTTAACCTTCTTTACAAACTCTACTGAATTTTTTATGGCATAAATGTTATTGTCTAATAGAGTTGAAAATCTATTAACTAAATATTTAGTTAATAGATACAAGGCAGTACCTAAATTGGATACAATAGGGCGGAAAGGAATACCAATTTTATGAATTTTGGAAAGGATTTGTGAAGATTTGATCACAGTTTTTATTTTTGACAGGTCTGAAGGTGAAGGATCTTTAGGGATCAGATTATGTGGTCCTTTGTTTAAAAGTTTAGTGACACCATCGATGTAAGTGTTCTTATCCATGACAACTATCTGGCCACCTTTGTCGGCCTTTGAAATGATAATATCCGGGTTAGAATGAATTTCGCGCATTATAGCTCTCTCACAGTTAGATTTGGTTTCAAAGGTTTATTATTGAATTTCACATTAGGAGCAATAGGATGCCTAATCATTTCTTTCTGTGAATCTGAAACTTTACTGAACTTGAAAGCTTTTTGGATCTGAACTGAACTGAAGGATTTTTTTCTGCTGCCAAAATTATTTGAAAAACATCTTCCATTGGAGAACTGGATTTTCTAGAGGCATTTCACATTCAAAAAAATCTTTCTGTTCTAGTTAATGATCCTAATTCCAATTCATCTTTGCCTTCGGCCTTTAAGAAATTATGCTTTAGTCTGTTCACCAACAGTGGCACCATAGCTTTATTTTCTGTCCAGGGTTTCTATCTTATCTGATCATATATTTTATCTCATTCATTTGCGCTTTTGCAGCTGATGATGGTGGTTCAGTAAAAAACCATCAAAACTAGTCCTGTGAAAATTTGAAAGTATAATGCAGATTTTTGTTATTTGACTTCTGAATTAGTATTTGTTCGGCGTGTTATTGTGTCTTAATAATTCTGAATGTTGACTTTTTTCCAATATACTGCTAATATTCCTCAAGTTAGGTATTATCAATTAAATACAAAGATAAGATTGCTCAATAATCTTTTCTCTTTGTGCTGATATCATTATATTACAATTTTAGCATGTAACCTAATAATTTTTTATGCTAATTTAAGATGTACTATTATTTGTTTTTCTGTAAGTATGTCAACTCTAACTGTGCATTTACAAATAAATAAATAAAGCATCTCCATTAAATGAATAAAAAACCAGTAAATTCACATCATATTAAATGCAGACGTGATGCAAAATTTACATTAAATACTGCAAAATTTAAATCTAAGCAGAATGATATTCAAACATTGTAATTAAGGAATAACTTAATTCTTCAATCAACTAGCTTGTGTAAAAGTAAGCTCATGTTATAGAAGCTAAAAATACTTATAAATGAAAATTACAGATTTTGTGATTTTTTAATTACAGTGCTATAATGCTTATGGAAAACAGACACAAAAGCAAACAGATGCAAAGCATGGAATTTCATTTGTGATGAGTTTCATTCAGCATTGAGTTAGTCATTTCTCGTTTAGGTTTGTAGTTAAATTTACAATAAATAACAAATTTGTATTATCATTAAATTTGTCTCAACAATCTGACTGTTAGGAAGTATTTAAAACACTGAAAAATTTTCTACAGAAATTTATTTATACAAGTCACAAACATACATACTCTAAGCTTTCTAGCATCAGACATTTTTCTAACATCTTCTCCTCCCCAAAATGCTCCACTTGGAATATATAAACCATGATGAATAGCTGCTTCTTCCAAATCTCTAAGCAAATCCTCATCACATAAGCAGTATTAACATCTAAATCAAAAGCACATATATATATATATATATTGAAAACTATTCCATTATATTATATTACAGCATTTGCACCCCCCCCCCCCCCCCCCCCCCCCCCCCCCAACCCCCCCCCCCCCCCCCCCCCCCCCCCCCCCCCCCCCCCCCCCCCCCCCCCCAAACCCCCTTTAAAAAATTTTTTATACTTTTATAAAGGAAATATGTGAGTAGTTTCAACTTCAAAATCACTATATTACAAGCTAGCTTTTTCTACTTTGACAACCTAATGAAAAACAAATTTATGCTGTAAAACAATTTAGGATTATGTGAAAAATATGAATGTGAAATAAATGTTTAACCTTAATTTAACATGTTGTATACATGTTAAATTAAGGAACTATGACATGTAAAAATGATCAAGGAACTGTAATATGTAAAAATGATCATTTCAGCTCTCAGAATCTAAAGATTTTCACATCATTAGATATGCATTAGATGGCACTTAATAACTCACATGTTTTCATGGAATGCCTTTAAGATTGAACAGAACATGGTCTTTTTTAATTTAGTGGATTTTTATAACATATATATAGATATCAATATATATATATATATATATTGATTTCTATAATATTTACTCTATCAAAGCAAAATATATACATGTATATAAAACAGAAAATTTTCAGTACTCTTCTTTTAATCAAGATTGGATTCAGAAATGTAAGTGTGTATATGTGTGTGTGTATGTATACACACATAATACATGCACAAACATAATACATTCACATACATAATACATGCAAACACATTCATACACATATGTACTTATATATACATATACATGAATACATACATCCATACACACATGCATGCATACATATATTTCTGAATCTGGTCTCGATAAGAGAAGAATGCCTAATTTACAAACTAATTAAAACAATGCAAAGAAGATATAGCAAAACTGAGTAACTGACTTATTTCCTGAAACATATCAAAATAAGACATTTGTGAGAAAAAGGGTACTTCCGTATTATCAAACAACCTTAACAGAAACAGCCAAAGCTTCAGAATATACCAAACTCTGGTTCTAATGTCACCATTTTTGTATGCATTCTTTTTGTAGTTTTCTAAGTTCCAACGGCTTTTATAGAAAAGTTGTGGTTATTCTTTGTCTTAAACTCAATTTGAAAATTTATGCTTGTATGATTTTCCTATGATAGAAGAAACATAGGTCAAATTTTTGCAGGAATACATTATTTTGTTGCAAATTCAATAAAGGAACAAACCTTCAAATTCTTTCCCAAACTGATGGCAATGAAATTTCTAACATATCAAAAACAAAAACCTATTTGTAACTAGGTGTACTGATTGCCTTTTGGAATAAATATCTAGTTGAAATGTAGAATATGTACATAATAATATGTATGCATATAATATATAATTTTTTACAATAAAAATATTGGTTCTTTTTCTCCTATAAAATTCAACAAACTGCACTGAGCTAGTTGCAATTATATGCAAGTACCAGAAAAAGATTCCACAGCTGATCAACTATGTGTGATACTTTATTACAATGAATTTCTTTATTTGGATGCTTTACTCCAATTATATTTTACACTCTGAATCAAATATACAGCCAATATTAAAAAAAGAAAAAAAAAAAAAAACGAAAGTTTTTATGTACCTTTTATGTACCATGCTAAATTTTCATAATGTGTGAACTATGGAAGCTATGTGCATAATAATTTCAGTTTTAAGAAACAATGTTGTCATTTCCATATGCACTCTTTTTGCTGCATTCCAACTCTTTTTATAGATTAATTACAATATTTCTTAAGTTAAAATTCCAACTCAGTTTGGCTTCACCCTTGACCAAAACCCCAAACCTGCCATGAGAATGAGGCATTTTCTACTTAAAATACTAAAACGTCCCTTCTATTTTAAACCGGGAATCATTTTCTTTTAATATATTGCTTTAATTAAGATGTACAGGTATAATTTTAAAATGTTTCTAAAAATACTGCCAGCCAGAGGGTTAAATTCAGCTTTAAAACATATGCTTCTGGAATTTGCCTGCAATGGAAGAAAGTGCAGTAAAATTTGTGCAAAAAGACATTTTTAGTCACAGTCATTAGAGAAATTTTGCAATTATTTCCCTTGCTTCCTCTTCTTAAAGCAATTACTACAAAATTTTCTTTAGAACAAAAGAGACAAGTATGTAAATAGGTTTATTTATTGATTTTGGAGATAAATACCCAATTCAAGTGTAAAATATGCATGTGAAAAATAATTTTCGGAAATGGTATGTCATCAGTCTTTTGCAAAAAATTCCCAAACCTGCCAATACATCAGTACCAAAAACACTTCTGTCATATTTTTTACAATTTGTAGCTTCATTAAGTTCCATTTTGATCCATTGCACATTTTGAAGGTGGTCAATCGGTACAATACTTTGTGTGTCTATATTTTAGCTTTAATTTTCATATATAGTAGTATTAAAATATATAAATTATCAAATAAAGCTACTTAATAGTAAAAATTATTGTGCTTAAAGAATACACAAATGTCCAATATTAAAAAAGGAACAAACATTTCTTTTATACTTTATTTTCATAATTTTAATATACTGCTAAGAAACAGTAAGACCTAATAGTAAGAAGTAATAACACTCTGGAATAAAATTTCAGACTCCTTTCTATCACTTTGAAAATATTTTTGTGAAAATATATTTCAGGGTACCCCTTAACGAAAATAGGTGATTTTTTGGCGACATTCCTGTTTACATCCAATGATCTCCCCAGAAAAATGGCATCCAAAATATAATTAAAACAAAAAAATAAATAATCTCTATAATCTGCATTTTCAATCAAACAAGGAAATAACATAAGAATAGAAATACACGTTATCTAATCTACACAGTATAAAAAGGAAATATCGACTTATTTAAAAATTACAGTTTCTTTGGTATGTGTGACACACAGAATTCCTTAACAGCATCCAAAACTATTTAAAATTATCTAAACTAGAATCACATAAATTCACAAAACATTGTTGCCACATAAATTCACAAAAGTAAAGATGAAGAATATCGTCCGTACTGCCAGTGGCATTTCCTTCAAAAACCCTTTTTATTACATATCACATACCTTCCATAATGTTGATATGAGCTCCAGTTTCCAGATCTTTAAATCTCCCAGCATAATTTACCGAAAGGTGAACGAAGTCATTTAAATCTTCATTTACAGACCAGTCGATCAATGTTTTCTTTTTCAATCATTCCAAAGTGTACAGAAACTTCAGGTTAACCATACCACCAGCAGGCATTTTACGGTGTAAAGCACAAAATAAGTAATGTACTTCCTAACCAACATGCAAAACATAAATAAGCCCTTACAAATATTTTCCCATCAGTCAAAATCACCGCAATCATGCATTACAGCCAACCACGTCATAAAGGGTTTCCATAACATTCAACAACTCAGGTTACCATAAATGATAAAAAAGACTAATCAAAATACCATAAAAACTCCCTTCAGTCAGTTACCCAAATCTAACAGTTATTAATCTTTGTATATTAATGTGATTGCTCAGTAATGAGCTCTATGAACTGTAATTTTACATTTATTCAAGGATACTAGAGTCAATCAAAAAGTTAGTTGTACTGCTTAAGAAAGCAAAACAGGATAGAAATTTTCCAATAACTTTATTGGTATCTTAAAGTTCTATTCAAAATCAAATTTTCAATGTAATTACCTCTGTTATTTTAACATTTGTTGAAGCATGGTACAAGTTTTTCGATGCCTTCTGCAAAAAAAATCCCCTGCAATGTCCAATAACATTCTTCGGTTGCAGCTTTCACCTCATCATACGAGTGGTATCGTCACTTTAAAAGTTCTGCTTTCACGGGACCAAAAACATGGAACTCGCACAGTGCAAGATCTGGGCTATAAGGAAGGTGATTTCACAGTTCCCACCTAAACATTTTCAGAAGTTTGCACATTTCTTTTGCTGCGTACGTCTTGCATTGTCATGCAGGAGCAGTTTATCTGGCTGTCAATTTTCAAGCGATTGTCGCAATCATTTTAGTGTTGTATAATAAGAAGATGTCTTAATTATGGCACCCTTTGGCTTGAACTCTGTATGCACCAAATCTTCTCTGTCAAAAAACAGCATCAGCATCAGCTTTCCTGCAGATGGAACAGTTCGACACATTTTTGAGTCAAGGAAGAGGAACGTTTCCGCTCGACAGAGCTGCATTTTCATTTCAGGTGAGAAAAGGTAATCCAGAATTCATCTCCAGTCTTTTGTCCAGAAACTCATTTACCTCTTTTGGTGACACTGCAGAAATTTCAATGCACTTTCAAAACACTTTCCTTTATGTTCCTCTGTTAGTAGACATAGCACCCACCCAGAACAAACTTCATGAAATTGAAGCTTGTCTTTTGTCAGAAAACTCATTACCTTTTTGGTGACACTGCAGAATTTCAATGCAGTTCAAACACGTTCCTTTTATGTTCCTCTGTAGAGATATAGCACCCACCAGAAACAAACTTCATGAATTGACGCTGATCAGCAATAATTTTATGCACACTACCGATTAGATCAGTTATTACAGATTTATCATTTTATGTGTCTATTGGAAGAATGATCAGTTTACTTGGGAGAGGCAGGTGCATTTATGGTCTCTGCTGGGAGCGGAATTTGAATTGTGGCCGTTGTGAGGTTCTTCTCTCGTTATCAGTCTTCAATATCCAATCCTCTAACAGTACACCACTCTTGTGTTTTTGTTTGTTGCACTATAAATTTCAGCAACATGCAATACTACAGCCCTTAGGGCAAATGATCACTGCAGACTTCCGGGGATGAATTGCCAGGGCAGCTGTCGAGAAGTTGCGGATTGGAGGGGCTTGTTGGTTGTGAAGGGAAGGGCAGAAGACATGTGAAAAAAGAAGGAGGGGGCAACTAAACGGAGAAGCTTGGGCGGCCCTGTCGGTTATTGGGTACTGGGGGGTGAGGGGTAAATTTTTTTTTTTTTTCCTTTCTTTTGGGCTGTCAGCATAGCTGATGCCAATATAAAGCTCGAAAACTACGGATTATGTTACCATAGAATCCGGGGGTTTGAGGATTTCATAAATAGGGAAAAATCACCAAAAATATGAAAATGTGAAAATTAATACCTTTTATTTTTGCGGAGGTATCTCTCCTTAACACGATAATGTGGTAACTGTTGTTGCGCTTAGATAATTGTTTTTAATTTCAGGTGTGTCTCTGTTATTATGCTTGTTAAAGGTGGGGCATAAGCAATGCGGGCAATGGATAATTAGAGCATTCTTAAGTTTTGTGGAGGTTACGCCGATTGTGCAATGTGGTCAAGAGAACTGTTATGTGTTAAATGTTTTGGTGCTTATAAAGTCTGGCAGTATCCGATAAACGGTAAATATTCAAATGAAACATGGCAGATTACAAAAATTTATATAGTAAGCGGGTCAGTTAAGAAGGTATTTCTTAGATGGAATAGAAACGCGCAACACTGAAAATCATGCATTCAAAAATTGTTGGTTTTATATTTAGCTTGTGGTAGGTGTTGGGGAAAAGGTATTAAAATTCATTGGGGAAAGGGTGTGTGTGCTTGGCTTAATTCAGGAAAGAGCGAATAAATATATCGAGAAGATGTAAATAAAACCTAAACGAAGGGAAAGGATGCAGAAACATAATTTAAAGGGTAATGATGCACAGCATTAGAGTCGAATATTTTTAATGATTTCGATGTCAAAACAGAGCAATCTAGACTTTACAACAAAAACTAACAATAGCGAAGCATTCATTATCAAGTAACATAGGGACTGGAAAATTCATGCTGAAAAGCTTACAAACACGTATGCTCTACCGATTGCATGGTTGACGTAGTAAAAAAGGAACCGTGTCCGTGAGTCTTATTCCCATCAGGAAAAACTGCGAACACTACCTCCTCTATTCAACTTCCTTGGCTGTGTCTGAGTTGGCCAGGCAGTTTGTCAAAATAGTCTTTGAAAAGAAAAACAAAGAGGGAAACTAGCTTTAGATGCCGCGTATATTCAGTTGCAAGACATGATGTATTCATGAATATCTATCTAAACGTATAAAATTTTTTGATATGCAACCACATACAATTAGGATTACAGTTAAATAAGTTAAGCATGAAGTTACACTAACACTTAATTTGTATAACTGCCACCGATATTAATGTGATCAACTAAAATGATTTTTCACAGATTAGTTAAGACCATTTATGTTTATATATAAGGACATTTAGAAGAATTGCAATAAACACTATTGATTTTCTTTTCATTTAAATACAGAAAATTATAAAGATTACATGTTTAATGTCATTTGATGTTATAATCTGTACTGTATTACATGAGTTTTAGGCATTGTACATTTATATTAAAATGAACAGTGTTTCAAAATACATAGGCTTGAGGATCCTTTATCTCACAGTAGAGTTATAAGATGTTAAGAGGAAATAAGATGAGGATAGGCCACAAACTAAATAGGTGTAAAAATAAATTCAAATAATACAATCACGAGAAAATTACTTCATACTGGCATACATGCGAAGAAAAATAGAAAACATTTTCCCGATTAAGAAAACATTAAGGCTTCAGCGCTAGGTTCAAGCATATACATATAAAAAAAATTTGGGCAACTTTAAGTAGTTAATAAATGCCTACCATATAATCGCAATAACTTAAGAATTCCTTCCCGAAAGATTTTGTAATCGATGGATGGGCGACTTCAACTATTATATCAGGTTTCCTTGAAGCAAAATCTTTAAGATCATCTAGAATCAAGGAGGTTTCAACGACACCACAAATAACAGATTTCGTTCGATTCCATACGAATGCAATTTCATAATTGGGATCAGCTGCAATACTTGAGACAAGAAACTTTCCTGAATTTAAAAAATAATTACAATAAATAAATAAAAATAAGAAAAAAGTAACACACATGAATTACAAAAAAAATATCACAATTTTACACAGAAAAAATTATTTGTATACCGTAAGTACACAATTTGTTAACCAACACTGAATAACCTTTTAAACCGTATTAAGTTTACATCATTAATTTACAAGCATATAAATAATTAATTAGATATTTAATCAAAGTTTTCACCGAAATCTCACCTAAATTACCAAATCCTATAATGCCAACTTTATAAGCCATAATATTTAGTTTCAGAACACAAGAGAAATTTTAAAGAAATATGCAAACTGCTTACATTTTTCATACACATGTATTCTGCAATTCAAGTCATCTGTTCAGCAGATTACTTAAATTTCTTATCAACATATCTTAAGACTTGTTTGTTACAACACATTAGCGTCCCTCTTCCTGCTGAAAACTTCTGCACGAAGAGAGAAAAAAGTCTTGTAAGTACTTTTAGTACAAAGTACTAACTTTGTAATACTAAAATAAACGTGTGTATAGGACTTAAAAGTCTTTGTAAGTACTAACTTCTAACGCTTCTAACTTGCTTCAGTAGAATGGTGCAACAGCGGAACAGAGAAGGCCTAGTTCATAGAGCTCTCTTCCATAAGTGAGCAGTGATGATGTCTTCAGTTGACACTGACTGCTCAACTCGAAAATGAAATAAACGTTTGAAAAAACAGTCCTAAAAAACGCACTTATTTAGAAGCGAAATCATTACTAAATTTAGAAGTTGTTTAAAAAGTTAATAAAGGCTTATTTATTTTAAAAAGGATAGATAAAATGCGTACGCTTTCTAAAGTTGTAGGTAAAAGAACTATGACATTCATTATCTCTTCAACTGCATACTACGTGGGAGAATTCTATTACTCTTTCTAAGATAACTATAATAACAGCTTTTTAAAGTTAGGCAAGCAACGACAACTTAGTTTGTGTAGTTTTGAATTATATGTCATTTCTTTTCCTGCGGCTAAAGAAGAACTTATGTTTGACAGCCCTTGAAATCGATAGTCTTATTCAAGATTTAATGTAATCAAAGATTGCCTTTTTGCCCTAATTATAAATTTTCTATTGGCGTATTTGTCTTCCGATTTGATATAGTAACAGGTATTGTGAAAATAACTGTCTAACCGACATTTATACACATACATTACATTTAAATAAGTACCTAAGATTTATATGAAGGGCTATCAAGTGAAAGTGATGAAGGGCGGGGGGCGTAAATACGGCCCGCTCCGGGCCCTTTTACGCCCTGATAGCTTCGACGTTATTTAGCTTAATGGGCGAACTCGGTAGATCTGATAGCTCGGCTATATTTTAGTTTAGTTAAGTTAATTTCTTAGTTCAAGCCCGAGTGGCGGCTTTATTGTAAAACTCCAAGACAGAGTTCTGTTAAACTTTATTGGAATAATAAAGGGTAATTTCACCCTTCTTACGTGTTAGCTCTATATCACGAACTCACACACACAGAGATCGTATTTTATTCTCGAGTGTCAAGATGTAGAAGCAATTAGTCGCTTACCAGTTCTTAAGATGCTTCAACTTTAAATGCAACTTAAAAGTACACAGCACAGAATCTTACATTCGCGCCCGAAAACTTTTGAACGGACCATGTCGTTAGAAAGCGGAAAATTTACGTTGACCCTTCCGACCTTTAAGGTTCCTCAGACGACAACGAATCCAATGGAAGGATTTGGATTTATTGTAGAAATAATGCGTGCTGCGATGAAGCCAGCCTCAACGTTTGACGCCAAAGGCTCAGTGATGACCTTCTTGTAGCAACTTGACCTGCATTTTACCTTATATCCAGTGAACCAGCTGCAGAAAATTACAATCGCTACTGCAAACTTAAAAGGTCAAGCTCTCAGCTGGTACAAAGGAATTTTCAAGTTCTTGTTGGGGGATATAGGTTCGGAAATGTATAACTGGGAAAACTTCAAGTCCGCGTTGTTGAAAGCATTTCCAGTTGTGAAACACCGTGCAAACCTTTAGTCGGAATTGTTTCAATGACTTGACGGAGTTCATTCTAAGGAAAATTCAAGTATTCAATCTAATGTACAGGAAGAGACCAGATAATTAACTTATCGAGGTGATTTTACCCATCTACTCCCGTCAGCTCAAGATTTCCTTGAAGTCTGCAACCCAGAAACATTAGAAAACTTCTTCCAGCTTGCGGTGAAGTTCCAAAGCAGAAAAAATGCGGAGAACGCGCGTGCAAATCAGTTTCGTCAACATTCAAGGTTTACTCCGCAGAAGAAACTGCAAGTTCAGCAGACTGCGTATCGGCAGACGGAAAAGGGGGAAGCACACAGTAAAATTGTCGGAAATAAAAGGGCAGACACCCTTGTTATAATGGCGGCGCTTGGGGACGGGGCCAATTTTTTCTTGAATCTTTATAACATAGAATTAAACAAAAAAAAAAAGACCAGAAATGAAAAATTTATACAAAATAAGTTTGTGGATATGTCCGAATAAAAAGAGTTAATGGAAATAGTTTCCCAGATTATTTTATGTGAGATATTAAATCAGGTCTGACTAATCAAGGGCGTTTTTCCCAATTATTTTATCGGTTTATCTACAAAAAAATGATAAATGCTTAAGATTAAAGTTGGGGACTCAAGCAATTCTTGAATTACGCTTACCCGGAGTGCAAGAGAGAAATATAAAGAATGAGGAAGATTTAAAAGGACTATTCAAATTTGAAAGATTTGCAGAAAGGAATAAAAATTGTAAATACGACAAAAGATAGAATTGGAATTCAGCACGGAGAACTCATTTTGGACTTTATATGTTTTTCTTATATTTATTTTCCTGCTGTGCCGTTTTTTGAGGCAGACGGGCGTGGGCTTGGCTAGAAGATGGCGCTGGCTAATAAATGTAATGATATATTATATGCTCACTTTCACGTTGCATTTCAGCTGCAGTGTTATGCAACAACGACGGAAACACTTTTTCCCTCATTCTACAACTCACAATATATATCTTTTCTTCAGAATTCGGAGAAATTCCAAGTATGAGCCATCAAGATAAGTCAGGATTTCAAAAAATAAAGGAAAAAGCTCAAAACAGCAAGATGTGGTATTTAAATATTTCACAGGAAATAATGTAATCACATCAACATCAATGAATGAAAAGAAAAAATTTGGAGATCTGAATTGGTGTGTAATAGAAGGCAAAGTAGAAAAGACGAAAATAAAAATGAAGGAAAACAATAAATCGCATTTTTAAAACATTTTGTAGAAGACTTTAACCTCTATGAATGAAGAAAGAGAAACTTGGAAGAAAATTTATATAAGCAATGCTACAGAGAAGAAAGAAAAAAAGAAATATGAAAACAAAACAAACAAGAACAAAATTTGAGAAATCTCTAAAATTGTGATGTGTTTAGTATATAACCAACATATTTTATTTTCTTTAAACAAGACTTTGTAATTAAAGACAAGTTGTTATTAAAAACATATCAAATAAAAACATAGGAAATAGGTCTTGCAGAAGCTGAAAAGAAATTATATGATCATTAAAACTAAGAACTTTATCATAACAAAAGCAACGGTGGAAAAACTAAGCAGGAATACGGCTGATAATAATAGCAAATTAATTTATTGTATAGCAAACATTTTTCTTTTACGAAGATATCTTTTACTGAAGACTACGGAATTTAGAAACATATTAAAGAGTTGAAGAACATGAATGCTCAGTGTATTCAAAAAACCCAATAACAGCATTCGAAACAAGAACTTCTGTACAAGATCATGTAGACGCAAATACTGAAACTGTTTTATTTGTAAGAAAAGAAAATTGGAGATAAGTATTTCAAAGAATGATTACAATTCTAAAATTTTTAGCGAAATATTAACTTGCGTTTTGCTGCGATAATGTATATTTTTGATTTTACTCTGGTTCTAGAGAAATCATAATGCAGAAACAGAGCTTCTGGCTGTATTTAATGAAATTTTAGCATCTCATATTAAAAAATACGGCTCTAAAGGATACGTAAGTTATTTAACACCGACAATATGTAATGAGTTTATTGAAACGATTAATGAAAAATTAACGTTTTTAAAAGTGAAGTTAAGAAATTAAATTAGTATATCATAATTGTTGATTCCACATCTGACATAACGCCTATGATCAATTTAATACTATATTCCGCTAATTGCTAGATAATATTCAGTGTGTGAAGCGTTTCTTTAGTTTCCTGCTGTTTATTTCCTGCTGGTTATTTCCTGTATATTAGTATATAAATGCAAACAGAAGTACTGGGCCAGCTAAACTTTATTGGATAGAAGTATATAATACTTCAAAAGTCAAAGCTACGACAGCGTAGTAAACATGTAACATCAATATAGAAGTCTGGAATCCAGAATGTTAAATTATACAATGAAACAACAAATCACATATTTTTCACAAGACTAGTTTAGTTGGAAATTTCGATGCTTCGTGTTTCTGCAAGATACGTTAAATTTTAATTTAGTACAAAAAATTCATACTTTTCTTTTTAAAAGAATGAACACATCCAACGAATCCGCAGAGGATCCTAATCATAATTTAATGAATTATATTAGGCTACGTTAAAGATTATGCAACACAAACAGGATTCATGGGGTAAATGGAGCAATGAAAAGAAAGCATTAACTCCTTATTCATTAAAAAACGGAAATATTTGGATCGAATACAACTTTCAAAACCTCAACTATTCAAGAACGACGTAAAAAAACGGGAACACACTTTGGTAATTCTTTTCAACAATCAGTTACTGTAAAAAAACAAACAGCAAATTTGTTTTTTTTGTCTTTTTTATTCCACGTACATTTTACTTAAACTTTTTGCGTTTACATAAATGAAATAAAACTTGTGCTTCGGCTAAAAATAGATCGTCGGCTATAGTAGTTAATCTTAGTTTTAGTTTAATTTTTAATCTCTTAAGTTCAAGCCCAAGTGTAGATTTTGATTGTACACTCCAAGGCGGAGTTTTGTTAAATCTTATTGGAATAATAAAGGGTCTGCGACACCAGATGATTACGAAGCTTATCAAGGGCCTGATTACGGCCTAGCGTAATAACAGCTTTGAGAGAGAGAAAGTGGCCAAAAGGCAGACGCGCGTAAATCAGAAACTCTGATTCTCTCTCCAAAGAACTTCGCGGTTAAAACCAAAGACTTCGCGGTTAAGACCAAAGAACTTCGCGGTTAAATACCGCTCTTCCTCATTATGTATTCAGACATGATTCTAAAACTAAGTTCTGGCCGGAAGTAGTAAGTTGAAGTTAAGAATTTGACAGGAAAGGAACTTAAAATTTAACTGTTAATAAAATTAACATAATCCTTACAACCTGCATTAAGAAAATGTTATTG